TCGGCGATCGGAGCAGGAACTGAGTGGGTGTTATGTAGTGTGTGTGATTGGTCTCAGGTGAGCGTGTGATTAGTGAAATGGTGCATGGGAAATGTAGTCCGTGGTGACGTGCAACAGTCAGTGTAGTGAGAGAGTCAATATGATGGACGAGTGACCTCTGGTGGCGATCGGATGGAAGTCCACGGACCGGATTTGTGACACATTGATAATAAGAAATGTTTCTTGAGCAGCAGAGCAGCATATTATAATCATTTTTGAAGGATCACGTGACACTGAAGACTGGAGTAATGGCTGCTGAAAATTCAGCTTTGACACTACAGGAATTTTTTTTATTTTTTATATTTAAAAAAATAATATTTAACTTTTCATATTTTAATATTTTAAAAGTTATTTTATGTTCTTATAATATTTTACAATATTAATCTTTACTGCATTATTATTATAATTATTGAAAGGAAGATTTATCAACGTTTATATATGAGTACATACATGGTTGTCAGTCATGCTCTGGTTTCCATATACTACTAAAGAAAAAAAATGTCCCACCCTTTTCTGAATTATTTATATAGAGCTGCTCTGAGCACATTGCGGTCATGTAGTTATCAGGCTGACCCAGATATCTTCACTCATCAGCTGATGTGACCTGCTTGAGCCACACTACTTATCCAGACTGAGACCCAGAATCCAGAACCTTGGCTTAGATCATGTATTTTTTTTTTATAGCCAGGCAGCCATGGAGAATTCGGCTTAAAATAGTGGACCCGTTTTATGTTGCTCTCAACAGATGTGTGGGTTGAAGAGGGCAGACTAGAGGGAATTACAGTAGCAAAGTCAGAATTTATTCACCAGCTTCTCCTGAGCAGATTAGATTCAATTAAAAATATGAATGGCCCTACCAATGGTGTCCAGACAGCAGCCATGTAATCTCACAAGAAACCGGAGAAGGTTCACAATTGCTGGTTTGAAGAGTGTTCAAGATGTTTATTAACAATTGTGTGAACTGTGAAGTTGAGTGTAGATGCACTTTAAAATATAGTTTAAAGTTTTAAAGAACATAAAGCAAAAAAAGCTTAAACTGGTTACAGTGAAAAAAAGGGTATTTGGAATACTAGATTTGTTGAATACTACAAAGAAGCAGTCTGAATTCTGAATAGCATACTAGCATACTACTCTTACTATTTCTGTAGCATGTAGCATGCATGCTAGTATGTAATTGTGAATTCAGCCCATGTTGTGACTAGGCACCTGAAGGTGGCTAGCTACCAAGTTAGCACTTGCTAATATCTAAAAAAAAATGTCTGGATATCCTGTTGAGCCTTTTCCTCTGTGTGGATTTGATTCCTGGCTTTCTGTCATGCAAGGTAAGGTAGTTTTTACATTTTTAAGACCGAAACAAGATCACATTAGCTAGCTGTGGTTATATCCACCAGTAACAGCATGCTTGGAAAACACAATGTTTGTATCAAAGTTTAGAAGGCCAAAGGTTACTAAATACACTGTGAACAAAATGCATTTGAGCTAATATTTAGCAAGTAAACTAACCTAATTTAGTTTCCGTTTGTTTGCTGACTTATTGATTCATATTTTTTTGTTTTATATGGAAAATATACAGGAATTTGTCAAAAACAGTGTTTAGAAAAAAATAACTGAGAAGAAAGATTCACTTTTTGGCTTCTTAACTATTTCTAATATTTTGTAATGGTTCCTTTGCTGTTTGTTTTTACTAAGAGCAATGACAGAGGTACTAGAGCCAAAACTTTTTTTTTTTTTTTTACAAAATATGATGAATTTCGTAGCATATTTGCTTTCAACAACCATTCCTAGGGTGAAGAAGTCTTTAAGTCTTGTAATAAACTTAAAAACTGCCACAAAGACATGATGCAGGTTGCAGCTATTAAATTCTCAGCCAGTTTTTACATGTATAAATGATTCTGAAGACATTATTTTATGCCTAATCTTGATTTCAAGTTTAGAATTATGGCCAATAAAATGCAAACATGACCAGATGTTTTCAGCTACATCTATTGGTGTTTTACTACATCCGAACAGTGTCAGAAACAGGGGCGTCATGCACTCATTATTTTTGAGGGGGCACGAGTTGGGGGGGGGGTTT